TCTTTCAGTAGAGGCTGAGTGGCAGGCCGAACCACACGCAGCAAAGAGAGTTGCATGGGAAGAGTGACCTTATTTTTTTTCAGTGACCCATTCCACCCAAATCTGAAGGGAATGATCAAGCTCAGTGTTTCTTTCACAACTGGACCTAAGACGTTAACCATTTAAACACTGTTATTTTAACTAAAATATTATGAGTTATATTGTTTACATTTTACAGGAAAACTAATCCCAAGACACCAATCTATCTTTAAAAGTAACCAATTTTTCCACGGCATCAGTATTCCTGAACCAGAAGACATGGTAAACTGCTCAATTTTGACTGTTTTATTATTTTGCTGCTACTTTCTTTGAAGGGGTAGTCATTTCTTTTATTATACCTATGCGTTTGGCTCCTGTTTTCCTTATGACACATTGCCACAGATCGAAGAAAGTACATAAAAACTATATAAAATGAACCAAGAGAATGCTTTAAGAGTTTACTTGCCCTGTCTGTTCAAATATCAATTTAATGTTAAATTTGAAGTGAAAGTACATTTAGTTCCTTACATAAATATCTTAATCCTTTTAGTCAAAACACTTGGGTGCCTTTCCCTAAAATAATTATGGTCTCATAAACAGTACTTACTGTAGTCTTTATTTTGGAAAAAATGCATTATTTTTTCAGTTTGTGAAACAAAGCTCAAATCAATAAAAACCATGTCTTCACAACATACATTTTACATGGAAGGTCATGCTACAAAATGATCCTCATTGTATCTAAATCGAAACCTTAAACCATCACGGCCACCTCTACACTCCTGTGATCTTCGTCTTTCTTTGGAAATGCATCAATGACTACAATTCTTAAGTACCTTCATAAAAGCTTTTAACAAATATAATAAAAGGTTTAAAATTGAGTCACAAGGCTAGAAGTTGAATTACAAAAGAGTATATAACATGTTTGATTTAAAGAATAAAATATAATTCACATGTATCTGCTGCCTAGTGAAGGAAGAAAAATACTACCATTGTCTTTGGAGCTTTCTCCTCCCCATATAATCCCCCCCTCGGTCCCTCCTTTCCATTCTGAATTTGTGTTGGTCATCCTCTCGCTTTCTGTAGTGCTCTTGCGCATGTAGTTCATCATGTTTTCAGTAATGCTCAAAGCATCCCTATATGTAGATTAGGCAGATATTATAGTACTGTTGTAGGATTTCAGAAGGGGACATTTGGAGCCCACGTTTACTGAGCATCAGTTGCAAGATGTTGTGAAATTAAGAAAAAAACTTCAGTTTTTGTCTTTCAAAGCTTTTCACTGTAGTTAAATTTATGTAAAAATATGATTTTAAAATCTTTAAAAGGAATTATCTAACCTACAAGGAGGTCTTTCTCCAAAGTGTTCTTACTACTAATATATTCAAAATATACATTAGTGCATATGTAACACTGAGATTCTTTACTTTGTATTTCTAGGAAACTCTTGAAGAAAAGTTCTCAGAAGTGCATCCTGTGGCTTTGAGTTTCATGAAGGTACTTAAGAATTGATTATAACCATTATTGACTGCAAATTGTAATGATTAAAGCTGGTAACTCTGGGAGGGGTGGACACTAGGCAAATAAGGTGCCATGTAGCCACTGAAAATTATAAGGAATTATAAAATAATTACAATTAAAGGAGTATCAGTGGTTTAAGCAGTAATCTTTCTAATAAATCCATTAAAACTAGAAGATGAAAAAATATAATTAGTGTTTGCTGTGATAAACCCCATTATTTTCTTTGTATTTACTAAGAAATTTGACTGTTAAGTCAGTATATTCAGACTATAGAAATTTATGAGGATGAATGTACTCCATCAGTTTGAAGGTCTAGAATTGTACTGTCCAATATGATAGCTACTAGCTACATGTTAGTATTAAGCATGGCTAAATAGAATTGAAATGTACTAGATTTCTATGACAATTACTATGAAAAAGAATATTAAATATTTTATTAATTTTAACACATTAATTACATGTTGAACTGATAACATTTTGGATACATTGGGATAAATAAAATTTTTAGTTTTTAAAAAAATTACTAGACCAGGCAAAGTCAGAGCCATGCAGATAGCTGATCTAGCCCCTGCACCAGGCCCAAAAGAGATAGTCAAACAAAGTACAAATTTGAATACAAAGCAGAAGAAACTCACCTATGGCGAGTCTGCCATTCAGGCTTGACCAGCTGAGGCCGTGCCAGGTGTGACTTTTCCATCCAGCACAGATACCTAAAGCCTTTATTGGGGTGGGGATGAAGATACCAGGTATCTGTCTTTAACAACCAATTAAGTTCTGTCTGTAGCAGTGGTTTCCATACTATTCATCAGAATGAGCTTTTTAAAAATACACATTCTAGTATCTAATCTCAGATTTACAGAAGCAGAATCTATAAATAAGATGGTGGGATTTGTATCTTTAAACATCCCCCTAGGTGATTATGATACAGCCCAGTTTGAAACTCCTTGGATCTAGAAGGTGGAGCCATCTGGATGATTTACAGTCAACTTTGTAGCCAGCCTTTGTGCCAGTGCTGGTCGCTGTCCAGGGTGTACACCTCAGTGCTCCTGAAACTAATCAAGCAGGACGTTGTTCCAGCCCAGGCCCTGTGGAGCAGCTCAGCATTAGCAATCTCTTCTTAGAATTTAAAAATGCTCTTTAACATAAAAACCCATAGTGAGGGAAAGGTTGGGGAGGTGGGTGAAATAGGTAAAGAGGTACAAACTTCCAGTTATAAAATAAATAAGTCATGGGGATGTCATGTACAGCATAAGGAATAAAATCAATAATATTGTAGCAACTTTGTATGGTGACATATGGTTATTAGACTTATGGGGATTATTTCCTAATGTATAAAATTGTCAGTGCACTATGATATACACCTGAAACTAATAGGATATTGTATGTCAATTTAAAAATGTTTTAAATAAAAAATATAAAAAATTTTTAAAACCCATAGATATTCAGTAGACTAGACTTCAATAGATTGAAAGCCTGTACAAGGAAGTGTGACTTCAAGGTGTAATTGGAAACATAACTGATAGGTCTTAGTTATGGTTTAGATCTGGGGGGTGAAGTAGGGGAGGGTGGCAGAGATGAGGTACCTGCATGTGGTCCCTGCCTGTCTCCACACGGTGTTCTCTCTGTGTGCCTGCCTGTGCCTTGGCGTCCCTCTTAGAAGGACCACAATCACATTGGAGTGGGGCTCACCCCACTCCAGTGTGACCTCATATTAACTTACTACCTCTGCAAAGACCCTATTTCCAAATAAGGTCACATTCTGAGGCAGTGGGGGTTGGATTTTCAACGTATATTTGTCAGGGGTGGGGGTGGGAAGGGACAATTCAACCCACAACAGTGCCCTTGAGATGAAGCACAGATGGCAAGCAGGCCATTGCGTTTGTGGGTCTGGAGTTCAGCGGAGAGGTCTGGACCAGAAATATACATGGAAGTCTCTGGTAAACCTTGATAACTGAAGCCATGGAGTTTCAGTGAGATTAGGTAGAAACGGGTAGAAGAAAGGGGCACCTTGGATTTGAGCCTTGAGGAATTCCATCCAGCCACTGTGGAGAAGAAGATAAACTAGCAAAGGCTGGCTTGAAAGGGAGTGGTCCTGAGGTGGGAGGAAGGAAAGAGAAGCGTCAGAGAAGCCAAAGGGAGAGTCTCAAGAAGGAGGGTGTGGTCAATAGTGTCTGACACTATTGAGAAGAGCACACAAAACATCTCCTGGATTTAAGGAAATTGAAGTTGAGGTCACAGGTGTGAACAGCCAGTGCCACTTCAGTAGGATGGTGGAGGCAGAAACTACAGTGAAGTGAAGAAGAAACAGAGACTACCATACTTTGTATTTAAAGTAGACTTTCTGTCCTGGTTATTGTCCTGACAGGCAGGGCTTGAGGGGAAGGATTCCCAGGAGCAACTGGACTTAATTAAGGCACAGGTCGTTAATTGGGGCTGGGGGTGGGGTAGTGATCTGCATGGAGCAGGTGGTAGCTGTGGAGGGACAAGTGAGTCTAATTATGCTAAGCAGGGTTGTTTCCTGAAGAACAAGACATGAGAGGAGGCAGGCAGTGTTGGCAGGGAGCTCAGAGCTCTGCAGCCAGCCAGGCTCAGGGAGGACCAGGGCAGCCTCAGGCAGCGCCATTGTCTGGGCACCTGAATGCCTCAAAGTCTGTTATGTTGATGAACTGTCATAAGGCAAGAAATTCCTGGTCTCCTGTGCCCGGTTCTTTATAGATCGTAACCTATCTTCCTTCTTGGGAAAAGCCGCATTCTCTGGCCAAAGATCGGGGCTTTTGGAGAAAATCATTGTGTCAGGGCCCCACTAACCTCGCTGCTGTCAGAGTCCTCTCACTCTCAGAGGCAGAGCTGGAGGCTTCTAGTGGCCTGTAATAAAGGTCAAAATATTACCTTTTCCTTTTTTCTTTTAGTTATTCTTGTAGAAATATATATAATACATGGGAATATATATTCCAGTTGTATTTGCTTCATCACTTAGTTTACACCTCTTCAGCCACCTCCCTAAACTAATGGTTCTTAAACCTGAGCAGCTATCAGAATCACCCAGAGGCCTTGTTACACACAGATTGCTGGCCACCCCTCAGCCCCAGTGCTTTTGATTCAGCAGGTCTGGGGTTGGATCCAAGAATTTGCGTTTCTGACATGTCCGCCAGTAATGCTGACTTTGCCCTTGCAGGATCACACTCTAAAGAGTCCTGCAAACTGTTTTGACAAGTGATGAAGGGATGTCATTGGTAGAAACAGCTGCCCCTTCCAGAGAACTGAGTGTTCAGTTCTACCTGCAAAAAACTTTGAAGTGGCAAAAGAAAAACAATTCTAGTTATTAACAAATTTCAAGTGCTTGATAATAAAAAAACTTGAAGATTTTTCAAAATCATATTTGCTCTAACAAGTTATTCAGTTGTGAGGCACAGTAACAAAATAAGCCCCTTTTTAAATATCTTCTTTGCTTTTCTCTTCCTCCAAAGGAGTGTCTGAAGATGAATCCAGATGACAGACTAACCTGCGCCCACCTCCTGGAGAACCCTTACTTTGATTGCTTTCGAGAGGACCAAATTAAAAGAAAAGCACGTAATGAAGGAAGAAACAGAAGACGTCAGCAGGTACCTCTGTTCAAAAGTTAAAGTGCTGTAAAAATGATTTTTTTTCCTTTTTCTATCTTTCAAAGTGAGACTAGGTGGACACCAAGACCTTTTCTTTCCACTGGTTTAGTTGTATTTCTTTATCTTAATAAATATTGATGATTGATGTAATAAAACCATGAAACTATGAAAATACTCAGATTGTTGCAAAATCTTATTCCAAATGTACTTGAATCAAATTGTTGCACATTTTTTTTTCTACACTGATTGGATATCCTCACCTGCCAGACCATGTGCCCAAAATACAACAGCTTCATACAATAAAGTCCTGACTACAGTAGGAGTTTGCCCAGCATGACAAAGGAATCCCCATACCTCCAGAAGTGCCAGTAAAGGAAACCTGACCCTCCCATCTTTTCACCCATGGCAGGCCCCTCTGTCTGCCCTGCTAGGCTTTTCCTCAAAACCAGGGATGAACTGTGGCCAAATACTAAGAGATGAAACTCAGACAACTGGGAACCGTGTCCTATCCTAAAGTGTGCCACTATTACCAAATAATATGGTATATGTGACAAACACTGGTTCTGTGGCTTATCAGGTAACTACCCTTTACGTGGCTTCAGAAAACTTTGGAGTTAAAACTAACTCCACACAAGTAGTCATGTTTTGGTTTGGGGATTTCTTTCCCTCTTGTATCCCCAGCACCTAAGACAATGTCTGACACATAGAGGGTACTTCATGAATATTATCCAAACGAGTAAATAAATAGATGAACATTGCTTATTAATAAACCAGGACAGTAGTTTTCAATTTATCAGCCTGACAGTCGTCCCATTTTGTGTTTGCTTAATCTTTTGGTCACTTATGTTCTCATTAGCACATCCTACCATAAAGGAAGAATCAACAATCTTTTTTTCAACCTTTTGATAGTTAAATAGAAGTTTGGTGGGAGAGAAAGATCAAACTCATCAATAAGATGAAATATTAAGATGATTTCTGCGTATTCAAAATCTCTGGGTATCCAAATTTTTATTATGCAGACCACTTTATCTTTTTTTTAGCTTTAAATGTTTTTCTTTTTTTAAGTATATTTTTTTTGTTAAAGTACAGTTGATATACAAGACCATTTTATCTTTTACTGTTAAAGTTACATGTCTGCTAGTCAAACCCAATGGAGTTTACTTAAATAACTGAAAGATTAGGGTTTTTTCAAATAAGTTTGAGGCAGCAATTTGAAATACATTGTGAATTGTGTGTAAAAATACTATCTCCTTAAAAAACATCTCACCAGCTCCCACACTTTGGCCTGGGAGGATGCACAGCACGCTCGACTCTGACTCTCCGTCCCCGATTCAGGCACACGTGCATCCAGGTGGACAGGAACACTGCTGTCCCTTTGAGACTCAGCCCCCACTGTGCAGTCTGTTCCTTTACGCTCTGCAGCCCCACCGATATGGATCAGGGGCTTTTCAGAAGGCCTTCCCAAAGACCCAGGACAATGAAAGGAAAAGAAACGCAAAGAGCAGCATGCTCTTAAATAATCCCACTTACAGAGATTCTGTCATTCCCTCAGTCCTGAGTCAGATGCACCTTGTCCCCCACTGTATGGGAACCCCCCCTCCTCCCCCATAGAACACCTGCCATGTGAACGTGACTGAACACCTCCCGCCACCCGGTGAGGTCTCTGGAGAGAAAGGCAGGGTTATCTTTCAGGTTATGGATTTCCTTCCAAGCATGTACCTCTTCTCTAGACATTTTGCCATATCAGAGAATAAACTAAAAATTCTGAGAGATCTTTTCAATCAGTGTGGTTTTACTTTGTGAGTTCAAATTTCTACCTAGTTACCAACTTCTAGATCTCTGAGTAGATGACCAACAGTTCCTTTAAGATTAAATATTGTTTAAAGTGAAGAGATTTTAAATCTCTTTGCTCTTCTGCCAGGATCCTAAAACTAATATCCTAAAATTAAAAATTTCAGGTGGGCAAAATGTAGACTCTGGGAATTACTGTTGAATAGTTGGTGGATGTCTAGTTTTTAAACACTGACTAGGTACTCAGAAAGGCATGTATTGAAATAAATCATAGTACATGTATGAGAATTCTAGAATAAGTTATAGAACCTAATTTGCAAGTATCAGAACATCACAGTTTTTTGGAAAGGCAACCCTGCTTAATTTTCAGATTGATGTCTTTTGACATCTTTGTGCCATATATATCCTTTTTGATTTACTACCTTTAAATCAAATTGTACAAATAGTAATTGTTTTCAATTTACTTTCTTATTTTTGTCTTGTTCTGCTATTAGAATCAACTGTTGCCTCTCATACCAGGAAGCCACATCTCCCCCACACCTGATGGAAGAAAACAAGTCCTCCAGTTAAAATTTGATCATCTTCCAAACATTTAGGAAAATGTTCTTTCAAGTCGGAAGTAGTTTGATAGGTACACAATTTTGTACAAGAAAGATAGGAATTCTCAGTGTTTCAAATGCAAATGAGCCATATGAAAAAATGCCTTCTAGAATTGTTTTGCTCTGATCATTACTGATTCCTTTGCCCATGCTTTTTATATGCCAACTTTATCTTTTAGAACATTTTCTTGAAATGCTTTAAAGTCTGAAGCTGCACATATGGAGGAGACATTTTTAATTTCATCAGAGCAGCCCCTTTTGAGGCAATTTATATTGAGAGTTTGGGGGCTTATTCTGATTTATGAAAAACATTACATATATCATCTTGCTTCAGCTGACCACATAATGTCTTAAAGCAGTCTCAAATAGCTTGCCTAGCTGTTATTTTTGTAAGGAATGACATTATGTTTCTGTATTTTAATTCACTCTTGTAACCAGATCTACTAAGTAATGCTATTATTTTATTCTGTGTTTTGATACTGGTGTAGGAAAGGAACCTTGAAATGTCATCTAGGCTTAGCCCTTGATTCTGTCTCATGAGACATTGACGATTCTATTTTTAAAGCTAGCTAGAAAAGACTCCATACATTTACACAGCAAATAGTGGATGAACTACACAGAATTACCATCCAAAGGACAGCATTCGTGGTAGCAGTCTATCATCCCAGGGTGTCATCGTGAAGCACAACATGGTTTCTTACCCTTTTCTCCTCCTGGCTAAATCATCTCAGTACCTAAACCCTTCCTCCTGAGTATGTTTTCTGAATAGGTCATTGTCGACACTCTCTCCCAAATCCTCACATCCACTGCCTCTGAGACTTGTATAGCCCTAAACTTATGCATCATGATCAGATCAGGTTTATAAACACTTCTTAGAGCAGGAAGATTACCTTTCAGTTAACTTCAGTTTGTGTCTCTTACCAAATAAATAAGCAGACAAACAAAACCTCAATAGGTGGGTCCAATCAACACTGGAATATTTTCCCAAGTGAACTTGACAGACATAATTTCATACGTACATGCATATGTACATGTATGTAAATATATATTTATAATTATAAATTTTGAAGCATCATAGCAGATGCCTTTTATCCTGGACATCTAAGAATGATGTAGAATGTTTAAAGTACTTTCAGTTGCTAACAAGGAACTAAGATAAAATAATGCATGAGGCTGTCTATCACTGTCTGGCTTAAAAGCAACAAAATAGTGATGTTTCTATCAATACATATTATTTCATTACCTCTTTTCTGCTCCTGGGTCTGATATGCTCACCTGAACGTTATAAAATTTTTACACACAATTCCAGAAACACCTTATATTTGGCATTAAAACACCAAGCATACATGGTTTTTTGGAAACACACTGACACCTTAGGTTCCTCTCTAAAAGTTGATTTCACTTATAAACATGCCTATGTAAACTTCCAGAGACTCTCATCCAGTGATTTAGGAACATCTCTTTATTAAGGGATAATGGCATCTAAACAATAGCTCCTTGCTCACCAGAAAACATTCGCTGTAGGCTTATTTGGGCCATTTAACCTTCCTAATGTGAATCTAAGTTGTTGGGGTCTTCTTATTGTTGTCTTATTATCAAAAATGTGACTTCACTGATTTGTATGTTCTTTGATTTTTAATATGATGCCATAGGTGCAAGGAAAATGAGAAATAAAAGACAAAAGGCAACTTTGCTGAAAGATTACTTTTTATCATGTCGGCCTCATTGCCAAACCACTCATGTATGTATGTGTTTATGTATACATAAAATAACACACATGAAGAAATTAAGAAGATAGCCGAAGACTCTTACCCATTGTGCTCAGACAACAGTGGAGTTTTCGGCAGGGGTTGGTAGGGTGACTGTCTTCCCTTACTTTTGCTTGTATTTAAGAATTAATTCAAACTAGCATTTCTCTCTCTCAGTTATTTTCTTTAGACAAAGCCATCATTTTAAGTATCACTGAGGAGAGGAGAGGAGAGAGCACCTAATGCTTAGGACAATGTTCTGATGCAGTCCCATACCACAAAGAAAACTAATCTGAGAACACCTGTGCTCAGCTTCCCCTGGGGCGCCGGCCACAGAGCGGAGCTGCTGCCTCAGTCACTCAGGTGCACAGATCTCAAACTGCAGTTCTTTTCTGTTTCACATGCATATTTCTCACCTCTGTACTATACAGATTCCCTATCATATCTCAGCCAAATGGAAAACAGTTGCACTTGAGCATCTAGTATCCAAATTAAGTGATGAATTTTGTAAAACTTATCCTCAGTAATAGTCTTGCCCCAGGCTCTCCACACAGGCCCCCCAAGGCTCTCGCCATGCATTTCCTGTGCAGTCTTACACTGTTTCTGGCTTACCTGAGATTTGCCTTACCCATGACAGCTTTCAAAGTTTTTAATTTATTTATATGTAGCTCTTCCCTTGTGCTCTTCAGGCCCTGGTCTTCTCAGACTTTCCACATGTGTACCTGAGAATCTCCAAGCAGGTGTTTTTGTTTTTGTTTTTGTTTTTTGCAGAGCACTTCACAGGGAATTAAAAATGCAGACACTTTGCTTCTTAGTGCTCCTGCTTCTTCAGGGAGGAAGCACATAGACCACAGAAAAGACAGTCCGACCTGTGTCAGCCTTGTAAGCCACCTGCCTCGGTCTTTGGGCTCCATTTCAGTTCTGGTGACATTTTGAATGTAATTGTTCCAACTTGCCCCAACCACCAAACCCATTTAAGGGGTCACTTTTTGAAGAGTATTATAACTAGACTGAATCATTGAAACGTTGTGTTCAAGATTAAGGAGATGTTTGAGTAAAGGGTAAAAATGCTCTCAGGCCGGGAATAAAGAGGTGAGTGGAGAGTAGATTTTCCCACTACCAGTGATGTTAGCTACATCACTGCTCTTCACTGCTCTTGCAGGATTTCTGAACTACAAAACATAAGAAAATGAATACGTTTTCTTGGAAAAAATGCTCAATTCTGAAGATGTTTTATGGTTGTTTAGCTTACTTGCCATAGAATTTACAATTTTTCAAAAAGATGGCACTTTCTTAGTTATTTGTCATCACAAATGATTTAGAAACCTGCTTTTGGAGCAACTTGAATACACAGAATTCTCACCAAAAAAAATGTTTTTAATTAAAACATACTACCAGAAAAAAAACGATCCTAAAATTCCACAAACAGTAAAATTTTGAAAAGTTAGGCAATCAATATATTAGCTGAGTCACAAATATACATATTTTTAATATATCTGGTTAAGTCATAAAAAGAAAATGCCACTCACAAATTAATGTTCTGCATGGGTGCGTATGTGTTTTTTTTATTTCAATTATTAACTCAACAACTTCATTCTTATTTTAGTAGAAAATTAGAATTTCAGAGTGGTAGTTAGAGAAGAATAGCATTATCATTTGGTCTGGGAGTTAGGACACGAAGTTCTAGGCCTGGCTTGCAACTCTCTATATCCTTGTTGCAGTGTGTAACTTTTCCATGCCTTCATTTTCTCATTTGTAAAATAAGAGAATAGATAAGCCAGATGATTTCTAAGTTTCCCCTTTAGCTCTAAACTTCTGCGATTCTCTGTAGCACACGGTGTTTGAGTCCTGTACATATCACCCATTAGAAGAGGCTTTCTAGAGACTGTTTTTCACTAACATACCATGGTAAAATTTGGTGTTTATAATCTAACCAGGGGCAAGGAGAGCTCTCTCTTTCTCTCTCTCATTTCTTTCTTGCTTGCTTTCCTTCACACATACAACTAATCCTTGCTAGTTCTATCAAGTCAATAGTAGTATACAAATAATCTAATAAAGGTTAAATTTTATAAACTGAAATGGATTTTAAAGCTAATTATCATAAGATTTTAATTAATGTAGGTAAAACAGGTAAGCTTTTAAAATGCAGGGTGATACATAATCATTGTTTGATGTTTTAATCCAACTCTAATTAGCTTGGAAATGACACATATGCTGTGAAATATTTATTTAAGATACCTATTAAGGCAAAGAACATTTAGTACATTTTCAACTTCAGTTAAAACCTCATAGTTTCAGTAAGTGATAATTTAGTGAATTCCACAAATATATCTGAATTATACATGTTCTACATTTCAACAGCAGGGACTTAGGCTCAGTCAACTTTATATCTAGCCTATAATTTACTCAGGCTGAGAATTGGTTATCCTCCTTAACAGGCATATAAATGACTTGCATTTATAAAGTTAATAATTTTGTTATGAGCACTAGTCACTTACCATATCTGTCACTATCATCATGTTGAAGATGTTGTGTGTCTACTTAATGGTTTTTATAATTAGCATAATGGCAATTTGTATTTCTAAAAACAATTCACTGCAAAGCAGTTTTAGTTGTATTATGTTAAATATACATAATATTTTTTAAATTTAGCTTAAGATATTTAGAAAACCTAAGTATGGGGTTAACTACTCTGGTGACTCTATTTGTATATATAACTCAACATGCATATGTTCTTTAGCCTATTTTAATAAAAGTTAGGAGTATTTCTGTCTCCTCATTTCTGTTCAACTAAGCAATTAGTCCATTGTCTAATATTTTGTATTTAAGTGGGAAAAAGTCTCATCTTCATATATAAATTTCAGAACTTGTTATCTAATTTCCTATCAGGTGGAATATCTGAACAGCTGACATGGCAGCTCTTCCTTTTTGCGACTTGGGTTGAGAATTTTTTTTTTACAAATGGGAAAACTATCAAAATCCTTTCCAGTCTGACCAGCTAGACGCTTATCCCTGAGGACATCTTTGCACCTTTACTTTGAGGCTGTAAGACTCTTTCAATTCATCACAATATTTCTCTGACCCTCTACAATACTGAATCCATAAGATAGGAAATTTTCTTGCATTTTCAATTCCAGACTATCACAAGAATTACTGCTGTAGGTTTAAAAAGGTGAAAAGGCTCAAGACTAAACCTAATGATCAAAAGAGGGAATATAGTTAAATAATGAATAGGTCATTATTTAAATATGCTTCTGTTCTTTTAAACTAATCTTTCTGCTTTCATTATTTTTAATTGTGCTTATATTTGAGTATTAGAGATGATTTACAACAGTGACTGCAACAATTTCCCCCATCCTATGTGCCTTTCGGAATGATACTTCGCCACTGTTCTTATCAAGACGTGACATCTCCCCACTGACTCCTCACCTTGCTACCTGTGACTTCCTCAGACAGACAGAATGTGGCAGAAGTACCCCTGTGCCATTGCCCAGAAAGGCCTGGCAACTTGTGCTTTCTCTCCCTGGGGAAGACAGCCTCATGCTGTGGTGTGACTAAGCTTGGGCTAGACTGCCAGGTGATTAGTTACCACATGGAGAGAGAGAGGCTGCAGGAGGAGTAAAGGGGCCGGTCATGTGAGTAGAGCCTTCCTGGGCCTTCCAACTCAGCACGCCCACCAGCTGAATGTAGCCAAACGAGTGTCTACACCCAGTATCAGGCAGAACAGAGCCCACTCACCCACAAAATTATGAGCAATAAAAACTCATTGTAGTTTTAAGCCACTACATTTTGAAATGACTTGTTATGTTGCAATAGATAACTGAAATAGAGTATGTTTTTAAATTGCATACCATTACAGTTGAGAAGCATGTTTCCAAATAGTATGCAGTCTTAAAGTAAGGCATAGGGTCTGATGTTATTTAACCTAGAACTATAAATACACTCTAGGAATCTGAAAGCCATTCTTCCTGGCTACCCTTTGGCCTCCTTCTTTAGATCTTATTTATTTTAATCATGGTTGTTATGCTTCCAAGGAGGGCATCATCTTCTCATAAAACATGTGTAACCACCCTCTGCAGGAAATTTAAAACAACGTAATGAAGACATGATCCAGACCTCGTATTTTACCAAATATGGTATATGAGTACATAGTTGCTGGAAATTTACTTTATTTCTTTACAGTGGCCTAAGGTACCTCCCTTCTTTTTGCAAGAAAAATTCACATCTCTGTTAGATAACTGGATTAATGCCATACTATTACTTTTCTATCTTTTTGCCCCCAAAAACAGTCAGTTTGAGTCCTGATGGGTGTTTCTTCACCAGTGCTCCTCACATAGCCTCCCACTCAGCAGCCAGCTAATGATGGTCATCTTAGGGAGAAGGCTTATCTAACTGCATGAAAGAGGTTTTCCTCATAACAAAGATCCTTGGCACCTCTGAATGACTGGAGCAGCTGTCTTTCTACACTTGCCCTCTTTCTCTCGCAACTAGAAAGACACCCCTCCCAGAGGCCGGATTTTGGCTTTGCCACTTAAAGGTCATGACCTAATCAGTATCTTCAGCTCTAAAATGAGAATAACACATAAATTGAGAATTTTAACACCTGAGGTTTTAGTAAATGTATTAAATGAAATTGAAATATAGTTACATTTTTAATAAATTAAAAGTATTAAATGAAACAATTATGTTAGTATGCTTTGTAATATAAAGAGCTATATAAATATTGATAATTACTTTTATTGCCCTCTAGGACTTTTGGGATATACTAACTTCTATAGTTAATATGTGATCCCTTGAAAGAAATCCATAGAATTTTTTTTAATACAGTGGTTGCCATGTTTCCTTCCAAAGAAGTGTGACTCCTCAGTCTTACCCAACTCCTCATAGCTTCCATTTGGTGGCTTTTGCATTTCTGA